AACTGCTCTTTCACAGAGGAAGATTAATTGTTCTTTGTCTCTGAGCGCATCTTTGCCACAACCGGTGGGAGTCTGTTTTGTGAATTTAACAATCTTGGTTCAAAGAAATTAAAGAAACTCAAGTGTGCCGCCGCAGTCATTCAGGGCTAATACATCTTGTTGCGCGTGACTGAGGACAAGTGCCCTCCAGATTAAATTTTTCTGCTCAGCACCCAGCATTTTCATAAAATATAGCCCTTGCACAGCTCCACAAATATCCCAAACATGTGGTTTAATTTAAACCAACATGCTTGAGCTAACCATTTAAATAAAATATCTGTAGTGCTCCAAAGCTATCTTATAAATGCACCTTCTCAAGATAAAACAAGTAAACTCTGTAATTTCAAGTGTCATAGCATCATATCTGCACTGACTGATAAGCACAGCAATCTTCACGGAGGATTTCCCAAGAAACCACAGGGCTAGAAAGTGGTCCCTGAAAACTGGCAGAATAAGGTAGCCTCCTTGACTGTGTCACCAGTTACTTTAGGGGTTGCACCGAGCTTCCTAAGTCCCCATCTCCTATAGCCAAGGCAGAGTGGGATGCAAGATAGTTGATAGGAACTGGATAAAAATTTCTTTTTCCATTGATGTTCTGTTTGAACGTGGCCTTTGCCTCTTATTATGAAAGAAAATTATTTATGAAATCATGAGTGAGTGCGAGAACAAGTGTAACCAGTAGAAACGAGGCTGCTGGAATAGGTAAACCAAGCCTTTCAGAGCCCTTTTGATCACATGACACTTCGTAAACATAGCATTTTATTTTAAGACATTCCTATTGAAATTTTTGCCACAGAGAAAAGTGTTGTGTGCCAAATATGAATGTGTGGCCGTAGACAAGGCTCCGTGGGTAATGACAGCTGCTCCAAAGCCCAAAGCATTTTCCCAATAGCGTATCTGAAGTTGTCCTCTGACTTCTGCACACACTGTGGTATGTGTATGCACACTTTTAAACACACACACACACACACACACAGAGTAAATGAAGTTGAAAAAACCCAACTAACCTAAAAGTTTAAGGCAAATGAGCCCGTATTCTGATGGTGTATGTGCACATTACTAAAACAGTCTGAAGTGGATACAGGAATGCTGTGATCTCAAACTGTTGGAAGGATCTGGCTCATCAGGTATGGGCAGTTGGCATGTGCACTGATGATTTGAAAAAGACCACAGCAAACATTCTTCTGCAGGCAGGAAGTCTTACAATTTATGAGTCATCACTTCAAACTTTTTCTCTCCAAACCAAACCCAGTTCTTAAAGTGACAAAAACACCATATACTTAATTTAGCCAGTTTAAACTGGAACCTTAAAAGTCAAGAAGCAGATTCAATGAGACAAAATAAATACTAAGGGCAGGATCATTTATCCTTAATATAGTTATATCTGAAATGGAGGCCACGTTCCCTACTCACTTATATTGTTGTTTTGTTATTGTGCCAGCTTTCTCCATCAGTAGAATATTATAGATAATTACTAGACCAAGATATTCTAATGCAATGGCTTCTTAATGGGGAAGGAACTTATGGAGATTAGAGGAGTTTTCAAGGAGGGAAAAGACGAACATGTATTTCCCATTTCAACCGTGAGTACGGCTGATGCACCAGATGACTGACTGTTGCTTTTCTGTCCCTCAACTCTATGCACATGTCAGAAATGAGTTGTGGACTAGCTCTCCTATCCCCGTAGTCACACAGTGTTTGCTTATGGGACTCTGCAACCTGCTCTTATGTAAGTGATCACACACGGAGTCACCAACCCAGCCATTGACCAGTCATATCGTGTTTGATATGTGACATGCATCTAGTCATACCTACAGACAGAATGGGACTCTTCTGAATATGCAGTATTGCCTATCATGGAAGGGAGAGAACATTCCAAAGATTGATTTACAGTCAACAAGATATTTATATGTTTAAGGGAAGTTACTGTCAAGGTTTTTCATAATGCAATGAAAGTACAGCATCTCCTTTGAAGGAGACAGTCTTGGGAAATTACAAGAATTAAGCTGTTTTCTGGAAAGCTATGGAAAATGGCTGTAGCTATGCGTTGTGTCAGCAAAACACCATGTTTTCTCGTGAGCAAATAGTCAAGGGTGTTGAGAACTTATCAGAACAGTTTGAACCCAGGAAAATCCAGAAAACCATTACTTACATTAAATCACGAGTGATCAGATATTGTAAGCAGCACTGGCAAATCCTTGAACTGGTCAAGTCAAATAAAATTAACATTACTGTTCTACAATTACAGTTGGCTTTTTCTTTGGGCCACCAGCCAGCTCCCAAATAAAGACACAGAGACTTGCTATTATTTATGAATGCTCAGCCTTAGCTTATGCTTGTCCAATTAGCTCTTTTAACTTAGTGTGACCTGTTTCTATTCATCTATGCTTTGCCTTAGAGGTTTTTGCCTTTTTTTTCATTCTGTCCTACTTCCCTGTTTCCTCCATGTTGGGCTGGCTGGTCCCTGGTGGTCTTACCTGTATCCCCTTTTCTCTCTTCTGACAAACCTGAATTCCTCCTCCTACTTACTCTGCCTGCCTGGCAATCCCACCTATACCCGATCCCTCTAAGGGCTGTTCAGTTTTGTATTAAACCAATCATGTGCCTAAGGCAGGCAAAGTAAGGCAGCAATACATTTTACATAGTGAAACAAATGCAACACATCATCTTTGCATAGCTAAACAAATATTCTGCAAAATTTTGCCCTTTTTTAACAAATAAAAAGAAAGGTTTTAGCTTACACATAGGAAGAATCTGTGCAATAAGAAAAGCTATCAAGTGGGAATTAGGTTTTACAATATCCAGTCCATTTGTATTGGCCCGATTTATTTCAGCAGTTCCTTTTACAATCTCATGTCTCTCAGACATCAGCACTCAAAAAAAAAAGACAACCCAAACCAAAATAAAACAAAACAAAACCAACAAAAACAATCAACGCCAACGAAGCAATAAAGCATCATATGTGATACAGACTTCCCGTTCATTTTTCCATCCTTATGTGGCTTGTTCACGTTATATTACCTTACTCTTCCTTTAAAGACCTGACTTAATTATTTAAAACTAATATTTTTCCTGTGACCCCCCTATACCCATTTTCTTTGCTTCCTTCAATACCTGTGCACACTGTAACTGGTTTAAATCGAGCCTGGATCTGTTTTGCTGTGCACCTTCAGTGTTCTCTGATTGCTTGATCCGAACTCTAAATTGATAGCATTTGAAGGCAACATGTAGGACCTCCACATTGTGGCTCTGGTGGATGGCGCTGCCCCATCCTCCAGCGTGTGCGAGCTGAGCCTTAAGCCCACAGGTCTGCCTGAGAGCTACATTTAACTGGGAGCTGTGTTTAACTAAGAGCTCCATGTAATCACACCAGCTCTAGGAAGATGGTACCCGCAATGTGGCAGGAGTTTTTACTTAGCTTGCTGTTTCTACTAAGCATGCCAGCTGCTCAAGTGTTCTGCTGCACGGTAGCACATCATAAAGGAACCGTATCCATTTTTCTTTGCTGGCTCTCTCATTTTTTTATAGCTTGCTCAGACCCTATATGCTTTAGACCCCAAGTTACAACCATGTTGTTGGATTTTTCTTTGGGCTGCCAACCAGCTCCCAAATAAAGACACAGAGACTTATTATTAATTATGAATGCTCAGCCTTAGATTAGGCTTGTCCCATTACCTCTTTTATCTTAATTTAATCTGTTTCTATTCATCTATGTTTTGCCTCAGGGATTTTACCTTTCTTTCATTCTGTATGTCCTACTTTCCTGCTTCTCCATGTTGGGCTGGCTAGCCCAATGTATGTCCCGGAAATCTCTTTTTCTTTCTCCCCTTCCTGCACCTAAAGTCATCCTCATACTTATCCTCCCTTCCCAGAAGTCCTACCTACACCTCCTAACTAGCTATTGGCCACTCAGCTTTTTATTAGACCAAACAGGTGCCTTAGGCAGGGAAGATAAAACATCAAGAAGACATCTTTAAATCGTTAAAGAAAAATAACACATCTTTAAATAGCTAAACAAATATTCTGTAACAAGTGAATGTTAGATATTGAACTTGCCTCAAGTGTGAGCAAATGATTCAGATGATAATTAATGTGTAATAATGAAAATGTATCAATGTGTTTAAGAGCAGATGTCGGTGTAAAAGCAAATGTGGGTGAATTTATTTCTTGTTGCGTCATGCCTACTATCCACAGATACCTTTAAAGCATTCAAAACTGAAGAGCCTCACCTGATTTTGACAATTCATCTTTGCTTAAATAAGAGTGTAACATCTAAAAACTATTGTTTTGAGTGATACAAGGCAGAAAGATGAAATCATATTTCATGTACTGATCACAGGCTGTTTCTTGATAATTCTGCATTTTGTGTGCAAATAACACACAGTTTACAAACAGGAGAGTTATAGTAATTATAAAAGACACTTCATTAGGAATAGGCTACAAATCTCATCTTGGATATTCAACAGAAATCAATTCTATTGATTCATAAATATGAAAGAAAACTCATTTTTTTAAAGCAAGCAGCACTGAAAGAAACAAAAAACCAGTTGGATTTATTTTACTCCAGTTAATAAACTATAGTCAGAAACTAAACAGTGCCCATCTTGTGGTTAGTGTCTGCAGGGTACAGTGGTACACAGATTCAAAAGCGGTGACATCAGTGGACACAATGAATGGGAAATTCCAGAGATACTGAGAGACAGCTTTCCTGTAGAGAGAAGCCTTTTCCTTGCCAGCAGCTTTGGTTTTCCCCACCAGTCGCCTGGGCTCTGCCGCGTTGTAGTCCCCAAATAACACACAAGACGCTGTATTAATTATGAAGCTGTTGGCCTTGCTTGTTTCTTACTGGCTAGCTCTGACTTAAGTATTTAACCCATCTAATTATTTCTCTTACTGGACGGACATCTTACTTCTCTGGTGGGCTACATCATGACTCCCTGTGTTTCTCCTACCCAGAATCCTCCTGGACTCCTAGTCCCACCTCTCTTGCTTCCCTATTGGCCAACAGTGCTTTATTGACATCTATACAGTGCTTCCCCCATCACTTTCCCATTTCTTGCTTGATGTTTCCGCCTTTTATGGTAGTCTGGCTTTAACCAGTCTGACTATTCTGAGGTACAGATGCAGATGGGAACTACTGAAGTGCTCCTGCTTGTCTCTTTCACCTCAAGACAGTCAGTCAACATTTCACAGGTCTAAGACTCTGGGGGGGGGGAGGTGGAGAGCCTCATGGACCCACACAAATCTAATGCTTAGAACAATTAAAATACGTGTGGTGCATTGAGCTTGGCCTTATGCTTTTATTAAATTGACCACGATGGAGCAATCCAAACAACGCTGCACAAAGGACACACGTGACCAAGTCCTATAACGTTTAATGTACTTGACCCTGATACGTGGCTCTGTCTTTCCTTTAGTCTTCCTCGGGAAGTAAAGATGATGCTCACTTAACCTAGGAGAAACAGAGTAGCCAAGACTTTGCATGGAGAGCTCATGGTACTCCACCCATCTTTGGACATGGTGGTATCTCATTTATGATAACAAATGAAGCTTGCCTGAAGATCAGAGTGCAGAGCTAGACACACTAGTCATCCATAGAGTCCAGGCGGTGTTGGCACACACCTTTAACCCCACCATTTCGGTAGGTTGTTTCTAGAAACAGCCTTGTAGAAATGTTAAGGTACACAAGGAATATTTGCATAAGGAAAGCTGCAGACCCGGCAGATAAACCTTCAAGGGTTAAGGAATATTCCACACATCTGAACTCCAGAGGGGAAGTCCCACAAACCCTAAACACCATGCTTGGATCCACACAGCCCAGCCTCCCACACCCCAGTAACTGCCCTGTTCATTTCTGCCGGTAGCTGCCTCTGCTGTCTTAGCATAAACCTTGCCCTCATTGACAGTTCACGAAGAGCCCAAGATGAACTTACAGAAGCCCATTAGGTGAGGGGCTGACTGCTTAAGGTGTGGAGAAAAGAGAACACTCACCCAGATTTTTTTCTTCCCTTCTGTTGAGAAAACTTGGCAAACACTCAGAAAGAACACTGTGAGTGTCGCTGCCCTCTAGTGGCTAGTGAAGCTCCCACCGTTGCAGGGAAGTTCAGTCACTGCCTGGATCTCTATAGAGCTACCTGCTCATTCTTGGATATAACTTAATCTCGTGGCACTCTCAAAGATCTCGCTGAGGGTTCCTCATTTCCGAGTTGAAGATAAGTGTCAGATTCTCAAGACAGAGCAAAACAGTTCCATGAGTAATTCATTAAGTGACAGGAAGTCCCAGATACAGGATTTAAGACTAGGGCTAATTGTGTTAGTTTAATTAAACGAGCTATGTGAACCTTGTAAGATGAATTCAGCCTGTGCTCACTCTGTTAGCATCTACACATAGGCTTTCAAACCTGTTCCATGTTGCCCTACCCTCTCACACCCCTACCCTGCTGTCCATTTTCAATGGCTTAGGATACACACACAGCACTTTGGGTGAGGAATCATGAAATACCCCTAGCAGACAATGATGGTATAAAGGCCACATCCCAAAGACACAGAGAAGAGAACAAAGACATGGGAAAGAGACTATATGTACACAGGAAAGGACTGTGATCCTAGAAATTGATTAGGGTTAATGTTTGAAAATGATCTAGGAAACTGTCAAAATTGCTGGTTGGGCTGGGAGGGACCTTTGGGTATCAAGACAAATTGATCTTGTCAGGAAGTACCCTGACATGCTGTAATACATTGCCTTGATAGGAGAGATCTCTGTTTACTATATGAAGGACCATCTGTCCTCTTCTTTTGTCAGAATGCCTGGACTGAGGAATCACAGAGCCTAATAGCTAATTACATCTGATTATTCTGAAGGTTACCACTAATGCGTAATACACATTTAATAAAATGCCCTTATGTGTGATAATTCAAATTTCATTTAAAATGAGAGCTAGAAAACCATCAGATGTCCAAGGGCAAAGCTGAACAGTCATGATTTCTCCTGCAAAAACGAAAATGTGTGTAGCGTTTTATTTGACCACTGATATAAGCCTTTATGTGTTTTTCTCATTGTATTTATTATTCAGTGGCATTGTGTTAAGGACAACAGCATAAATGTTAGTCTTCTACAAATAAAGCTGAATAGCCAGCTGAGACGCGTGAACATAGACCATAGAACAGTGGTTCTCAACCTCTGGGTCGTGACCCCATTGGGAGGTTCATATATCAGATATCCTGCATATCAGATATCATAACAATAGCAAATTCACAGTCATGAAGTGGCAATGAAAATAATTTTACGGTTGGGGGGGTCACCACCACATGAGGGACTGTATGAAAGGGTTGTAATATTAGGAAGGTTGAGAACCGTTGTCTTAGAAAATAATTCCACCAGATGTGGCCTTTCTTCTCAGGGTCTGAGCTAGTAAAATACCAGGTATATTTCCTTATTTTTCATTTTTGCCTCTCCACCGTGCTGTTTGCCCAGAGTAGGAAATATTGTTTTTAATGTTAGAAAATGCTATTTGATGCATGGAAACATTCCAATGAGTTCCATTTCCATCTGCAAAGTTTTCTTTTCCCCTGACTTAGCACTCAGCCATTCACCAGGGGAAGGAAGCCTGTTGTTTCTCAATTTTCAGAGCTGCACAGGTAATTGCTACATTTACGATGTCAGTTGCATGAGGTATCTTGGCTCCCAATTGACTGATTGGGGAGTCCAGGTCCCAAATTCTGCAGACTTAATTCTGAGGTTTGCATAGAAGTACTGATGGTACTTTTTCTGAGGGAAAGGGTGTTGTTTCTATTTACCTGTGGTAGAGAAACACCATAAGAAGGGTTTAAAGAATTGGAAGCCTAGACAAACCGACAAGGATTCAACAGCATTTCTGAAGTGGGGCACGAACTCAGTAAATTGTGTCTGTACAAGGACTGCCAATACTCATCTGCAGTATAAGGATCAGTGGGATTGTGGATCCGACATCTGCTCCAGTGTCCTTGATTAAAAAACAAAACAAAACATGAAAATGGCATTAGTGGCGCCTAAAACACAGGCAAAGAAGGCAAAACTTAACTATAAAAGCTGAGGCAATGGTAAGGATAGGTCATCTGCTCTCAGTAATTCTCAGTGTGCTGTGTGAATGTTACGAGCTTGAGTTTTGGTATGCCAAACACATGTTCCCGGAACCAATTTTACCCATTTCAAAAAAAGATTCACAGTGACTACTTTTCCGGACTCCATTTCCTGGTCCTTTGGACTGGAGGTCTTGAGCACCACCTCTTTGACTCTGCACTTCCCTGGAGCTAACTCATCTGCCACCTCCTCCAGCAAGTGTCCTTCTATCGCCCCTTGTGAACAGCATCCGTGCTCTCAGCGTCTGAGTGTTACAATGTTGCCAGTGGTTCTCTGCTGCTCCTCCACTCCACAAGTACAAGGGACTGGACAAGCACAAGGGACTCGGAGATTGTCCGTTAATAGTTTCTGCCAGTGCCACTGCCGCACGAGGAGCTCTTAAGTAATGGCTTATCCATCCCTACCATCAAGTTTGTCCTCTTCCACCAAGCCTGGGTGGCTTTCATCGTCCCAGACTGGAAAGGAAGCTCCACGGGAAGAAGGTGTACTTACCAGTCAAGACAATTAGAGAAGTGCTGGAAGAAAGAGAACCAGCACAAGTTTAGCCCCAGAAAGTGTCATCTACACAATGATTCAATTACAACTGGACACACTGCTGAGCTACACAGATTTGTCTATGCCCGTTCTGATGTTCCTGTTGGGAATGCCAACCACCAACCTCCTTCTCCCTCATTGTTTTTGACTTCAGAAAAATATTACCAGGACTTATTTCAACTTTCATCTCATTTGTAAAACCTTTCGTAGTTTCCCTTCTGGCAGAATAAATAGCACAGTGTCATGTTCCTCTCTACCTTGTAGTTCTCTTGATCTCAGAACACGGGAAGTGCACTGAGCGTGATGCAGTCTCCACCAAGACTGAATCTTGCAATGCTAAATTAAAGGTGTTCCTACTGCTGTATTCTTCACACCTGGTGTTAGCCAGATGCTGTTGATCATATAGCTGCTTTGCTTAGATCTTCCAATGTAGGGGTAAGGCCCACAAAACTCTTCATACCCCTAAGGGCAGAGATAAGGAAATTAGCACAGATGAAGATTAAAGGAAGCAAAAAAAAAAAAAAAAGGAAGCTCTCTTTGGAAACATGCCATGATTCTGATTCCAAGCTTGTGTGATAATTCTTTCTTTCTCTGGTGAATAAATATATTGTATTCCCTATTGCATTGACCTTCATCTTTATCCCAAGATTTGGTCTTCATTCTGGGCTTGGATGCAGAATCATTGTAGGTGAAACTTAGAGAAAGGTAAAGGGGATGACTAGGACAGAAGATGGACAGTGGGCGAGCCTTCTGGAGCTGTCCCCCAAACACCAAAGAGCATCTTACAAAGAGGAATTTGACTGACTTTGAATCTTGAGCTCAGAAGTTTCTGCCGTTGACCTTGGAGGCATTGATTTCTCCCCCGTGGTGAGTCAGAACATCACAGAGTCTGGAGACTGTGGCAGAAGCCACACAGCTCATGTGGACAGAGAGAAGAAGACATGAAAGGAAGGTGCTGCCCCAGAGTGAAATTCACCCTTGAAGAGCATGTTCTCGATGACACAGTTCTCTGCATGACGTTTCCAGAATTTCCCAAAATAGTGTCACCAACTCCAGTCCAAACCTGCATCCCATGCCCAGACATTGGCTAGAAGAGTGTGTACACACATGTGGAGGCCAGAGAGATCAACCCTAGGAATTGGTTCTCCCAAGTTTTCAATCTTCTGGAGACAGCAATTATCACTGGCCTGTAGTTCAAGACAGCCGAACTGGATGGCTAGAGGGCCCTGGAACCTGCTTGTCTCCAATGACTCACCACCATGGTCTAGAATTACAAACACGTGATTCTGCTTCCAGCAGTCCATGTGGGACCTAGAAATTAAACTGAATCTCCATGGGTCTACGACAAGCTCATTGTCAACGGCTTCATCCTGTCAGGTGCCAAGTGACCAGTGCTCTATGAACCCCAAATCACTCTGAACAATTCACAAGGACAAGTGGATTTTTCCAAAATACTGTGTGCAACAACCAAGCAACCATTTCCAGAAAATATCTGCCCTAGAGACACCACACACACACACACACACACACACACACACACACACACACACCAGAGACATTCCAAATTGCCATATATTTAGGCCACATTCCTTCAAAACATGTTCTTAAATCCAAAATGGTCAACTCAGCCCTGACCAGGAATTAAAATAAACAAATCCACCTTGACTTATTCCTAGCTCATGGATATGAAGATGTTTGTGGTTTCTTCATCGGACATCTTACAGAAAATAAGCTAGGGATGGCTACCCTTAGTGATCTCAAGATTGCTAGGCACCAAAGAAGTACATTAGAATGTATTTCAGTGTTAGACTCGAAAGTGTTACATGTTCAGCTATTTGTAGGTCAGAACAAGTGAATGCGGTCAAGGTACTGAACTGGAAGCCATAGCTACCATATAATTTTCTGCAAGTGCATTCTAGAAGGAAGGAGGATTCCTGGAGAACAGCAACTCAACAGATCCGACGAGATGAGTCACTTCTCATTCTGAGGAGGAAACTGAGGCATAAGAGAATCCAAGGCTCCCCTACCCCACAAGAAATCTTATGCCTGGCTGAAAACATTGCAAAATGTGACTCCAGCCTAAACATAGGGTGGGAGTAACATGGCACAGGAAAAAGGAATTTTTTAAAAAAAATTATTATTGCAGCATGGGGGAAAAATTTGAGAAAATGGGAATATTTGCATCCTATGTTCCCGAACCTTCAGGAAATAATGACTCTAATGCATCTCACAGCATTATTTCATGCATTTGAAGTTTTACACACAGAATATATCTGGAAGGAAAAAGAAATATGCAGTCAAAGGTCTAATGGTCAGCAAACACCAAGACCTTAGAATTCCTTTAGCTTCGGTAAAAGTGGGGAGTTGTGATTCCGAGAGCATAGTCTAAGCTGAAAGAGGCCTCCTTGAGTCTCTTGCTGTCCTGATTCAGCCTCCTGGGTCATACAAACTGTCAAACACCATCAGCAGAGGACAAGCATAGGGCCCTGAGAGACGCCTCCAAGGAGAGCTAATTGGGAATCGGGCACCCAGTGGGCTCCTGAGACTCAGAAAAGAAGGGAGCATTTAACAGGACAGCATGACACGGGGAGTGACTCATTAAAGTCACAAAACTTGAAGGGGTAACAACACAAATCCAGCAGCTGTGACATTTTTAGTCAAATTCTCTTGAGGGTTAAAATTAAGTGAGGGTAAAACAAAAGAGAAGCTATGGACATCGTTTCCACCACAAGGATAAACTGTCTCCTGGAGTCTAAGCCCTTCTGTCTAAACAAAGGAAAACAGATTGAAAAAAATGAAATTTCATATCTTCCACTGCCAGCTTTCTGGTATAGCTCTTTGCGTGGGAGCTCAAAAATGATCTTTCAATTTTGATTAATTATAAGCTACTGTTATCATTAATTTGTAATATTCTGACACTCTGGCAAGTGGGATTATCAAAGCCTGCGGTTTCGACCTGTGTGTCAGGCATCTTCTCTGACGGAGGGTCACTGCCTCTGGGATGCACTTGGAAGTTGTAAAACTGGCCAGTGAGTGCGTTAAAGTTTTTAGAAAGCTTGGGTCAAAACAAAACAAAACAAAACAAAACAACAACAAAAGAACAAAAAACATCATGTATTCGATTACATTTAAATACTGTTGTTTTGTTTTTCTAGGACGTCAAAATATCTGCTTTCAGGAAGGCCAGAAGCAAACACTGAATTAAAAGGGTTTTAAAGAATTATCAATCAGGTCTCCTGACCAGATAAACATTTAATAGGGAAATGAAACATGGAGTGAATATACACACTGATGCTCAATGCAATATTAGAAAAATCAAATGCAAGAGTATGGTATGAACGTCTGGTGCTAGGGAACCTTAGACTGGTCTGTGTGTGCGGCTTCACTGAGATGAGCATCCTTTGCTGCCTCACAGGGAGACACTGGTTTCCAGCAAAGAGTGATGTCTGGGTGTCGTGCTGTCCCCAAGGCCTCCTTAGTACTTGTCTGGGTTTGATTTGTCAATGGCCAAGGGGCGGCATGAGGAAAGCCCCTCGCCTTCTTGCATAAAAGGTTTTGTTTGGAAAGCAGTAAGAAGGGACGCCATCCCAGGACAGTTACCCAAGGCCACACGAGCATCACACATGCAACATGAACAACTCTCAGAGATCAGTAGTGACCATGCGTGGTACACGAGAAAATGCCTATTGGCCCATCATTAGAAGGCTCCTCACTCTCCTGCGTGGCATTCTGTCTCCACTGGCATCCGGGTCTCCTCAGAAACCTGGTCGGTTTACTCCTTGCCGTGGCCCCTCCGTGGTCTCCCTGTGAAGATGCCTCTCCTCCCAGGAACTGTTTCTGGTTGCCAGTGGAAGCTACTCTGTTATTCTGCCTCCAGCTCATACAGAGCCGCCTTAGAGCGCTGATCCTTTCTCTTTTAAAGTCAGCCGCTTATTTTTCTTAAACCAGCACCTCAATCTGTCGGCTGTGCAAATGGATCCTCTCCTGCTAACATTGACATTCCGCGTTGACTCTGTCCGTTAGCACCTTGCCTCACTGAAGTTGGCTTATATTGGAGCCAGTCTTACTTGGGCGTCTGTTTTCTGGACACTCACTGCACCGCACTCCTGTCGGTGGGTGAGCGCGCAGCTGCTCCCGTGGATTTCCCACGTGGGGACTGTGGTAGATTCAACTCCATTGGTGTTGGATATAGGTTGTGCATTCTACCACTTGGCATAGAGTTCAGAATATGCTGGGTTTTTCCACACATGCTTTAAACAAACAAACAAACAAACGCACTAAGTAGGTGTACTACTGGGAAATTATAAAGATGGCTATGAAATGCAATGTTTGTGATGCCCTAAGAGATGACACAGAACAAAAATTTATAGAAATCTCCTTGTAGCATCAGTAGAAGTGTGGGAAACATTGGTTAAAAATGACAGCTGGCTTATGGATAATTTTATATTGGATTTTGTATTAATTTGTAATGAGATACTTTATATGAATTCAGTACTTAGGCAGCTCATGTGCTTTCTTAGATAATCTTTAGGAGGGATTTAGTCCTGGCTTGTACTGAATGGTAATGTTCTAATGCTCACAGATTTCCCCAGAGCATACAAAAGCCTTCATTTCCTTGCTCTATTTTGGACTGTATATTCAAAATAATGCTACAATGCTATGATCCTCTAAAATATCTCAATTGCAAGAGCACAAAAAATGGCTTTCATATAAAATGTGGAGTTCTACAAAGAGTAAAACAAAGACTTTTGTCACTTAAGTGATAGTTAAGAACTGCATTTTAAAGTCCAATTAGACTACTAATCATATCCCTACCACAGAAAGAGGAAAAGTGGATGGGAACGGCATGATTAGAATTAGGAGATCCCAGGAAAGCCAAGGTAGGAATCAGCTTCTATCGTGGTGACCTTCAGATAATGACTGACACCTGCCCATCTTTTCCTGCATTATCTTCATCTGGTGATCTGCTTGCGGCTGGGGATGTTCAAGTGTTACTCAATTTAAAGTGCTTGACTCATTGGTTCCCTGATGGTGGCACTGTTGTAGAACCCTGGGTGGGGGAAGTGAGTACTGAGGGTGGGTCTCCGGGTTAAATAAACCCTCTCCACTTCCTGCCTGCTCTCTGAGGCCTCACTGTGGAAAGACACAGCCTGTGTCTTCTCTGCTGCAGTGGACTGCAGATTCTTTAAACCGTAAGTCAAAATAAACCCTCGGCCCTTTAAATCACTCCTTGTTGGGCTTGTGGTAATCTCTAGTCTGAGGTTTTTCCCTTTTTTCCTTCCCCACTTTCCACATTTCCTCTGTAATACCATAGTATTGCAACAAAATGAGGTTTAAGGCATGAAAACTCTTTCTTCTGCTTGCAAGCTATTACAAAAAAAAATAAGCATCTTGCTTTTGTGTCCATCAACATAAGGATGCAAGCAAATCAATGGCTGAGAGGATGATAGCGATTTTAAAACACACGTGGTGTTAGAAAAGCTTTGCTTAAAGCCAGATCCACACACTTGACTGACTAGATGGCACAGGAAAGGCCAGTGAATGTGCTTGTCGCGGGGTTTTAAGTTTCCAAGCACAACAAACCCTGGAGAGAGCAAAAGTCACTGATGGCTGGAGTGAGGGGAGATTGTTGGGGGTGGGGGGTTGAGCTAACAAGAGTCAGAGAGTGTAATGCCTTTGGAGGCATCCCTGTGACACTGTGGCCATGGGATGTGGCAAGATCTATTTGCCTTAGCAGAATGACTATGCCCATAGGAACAGAGGAGTGACGGAGACTTGAGTCTGAGTGACAGTGGGGATCAGAGCACGGCAATGCATCATCAGTTCCCTGTCTTCGTTATGTTGGGTACCAACAGCGAAAGGCTCTCTCTGCTGTGGCAAGGGATCTGTGGGAAACTTATGCGCCAGCCACTGAAACTTTCCTCTGGTTTTAAAACATCTCCAACCAAAAGTCTGCATAAAATTCTGGGGTAATAATGTGTACCGCGATATCTGCATAACTCTTAAAACTCAGCATTAGGAATTTTGTTTCCAAGAACCGTTCATGGTGACCGGGTCACTTAAAACAATTACACAGTAAGAAAATAGTTTGGTAATTAGGGGCATTCTGGAAAATTCCAACTTTTTATTAGCGGTTCCACTGTTGGATTGTTCCCACCCGTGTTTCATTATTTACCAGCATGGAAATAGCAGTAAAAAAAAATAAGAAATATAATTAAGATTTGAGCTAGAGCCACAGATGAGTTTATTAGAATATGAGTGGCCTAAAATGGGAAGGGAGCCAAGTTACTTTCTCTAAGTATTAAACTTTCTTTAAAGAAATAAACTTTAAAATCATAATTTAAGGAAGTATTTCCAGTCTTCTATGAAACATTGGATGTTGCATTAAATTCCCTTGAAATAAGTGTGAGCCCTGAACCACATGGTTTAGCTAACAAAAGGACATATCAACGCTATGAATATAAGAGATCTAGTGATGCTGGGTAATCTAGAACACCTTTAGGTGGAAGGCAGAGGGGAAGAAGGAGCTGTGGGTGGGTGCAGCCCATATATCTGTTTTTGAAGATGGGAGGGAATTCATGAACAAGTAAATATGGGAAGCCCAGAGAAGCAGGGGTCGTAAAGGAATCAAATGTCTGTGAAGAATATGCAAGAAAATATGCAGGTTAAACTTAACTGGAGCACAGTGAGAGGGATCTCCGGTTTCTGACTTTCGTAGCCATGATAGGTTTGTGCTGCTGGGAGCTGATCACTGGCTTCCACAGCAGCTGCAAATAAAACAAACAGCCTGACAGCCCAGGGGTGTGGGGATAACCAAGGATTAGGAGATGAAGCCTTGGTGGAAAGATGAAAAGATGTGCAACTATTTTAATGCTGAATGATTTGAGAGCTCCAGAATAAAGACGGAAGGCACATTAGAGCAACCTGTGTTTCACGTGTGTGGGGGGGGGGCTAAGTGTTGTCCCTGTCTGTATCTTCATGTTTATCAGCAGTGTGTATTTGCCTTGAAGCCAAATCAGGAAATCTTTGAAAATGCCCTATGAAGTTTCATGGTGGTTTCTCCCTTGATTCCATGTGCTTCATTGAATATAGAAAAATGAGACATTGTTGTAGGTAGGACCCCAGGCACTTGTGACATTTGGTTGTAATGATGAAATGGTTTGAAATCCTTGATGTGGAAGAACTCTGGTGTATGGGCACATGTGGGATGCTTTTAGTGAAAGTCAATCATACAATCATACTGGTGTACGGTAAAAATTGATAGGATCATAAATAGTGACTACTTCTCTCTGCCACCCACTCCTGATGACTGTTTTACAACCTGAAAGTTCTCAGGTATTTTTTTCCCAATCAGTGTCCATTTGAGACCATGGTACTTCCAAACTCATAATCTGACAAATCAGGTCTTCAATTGTCTTCATGCTATATTTAAAAGCAGGCACAGGTTGCAATAACTTGGCAAAAGATGTTGAGTTGCAGAAACGGTATTTTAATGTTAATGCTCATTTCATCTGCTTCGTTACCATCTCGTAAAAACCCCACAAAATTCTCCTAAGCTATTCTTAGAAATATCTGGAGCTTCTCTCAACACAGAGTATGGGAATGATGGCGAATGGAGTTTGTCGAGGATCGAATCCTGATGTTTCCAAGGGTTTAATTTCATTCTTTTTCCAGAGAAAGTAGAAGAGTAAAATATACCCAATGTAAATCAAAATACTTTTAAAGCTGGTGGTGCAGCTGTAATCATTTAAGAAAAGCAGCATGCTAGAGAGAGAGAGACAACACGTGAACAGGGTTCAAGCAGAGGGTATTTTTAAATAGGGAAGGTTTTTTTAAATTAGGGAAAGTAATAATAAAAGGGGGCAAGAAAGGGGGGAGACCCACCTCCAGGGACAGGAGCAGCAAGAGAGAGGAAAGAGAGGCAGGAGGAAGAAACAGATAGACAGAGAGAGGGAGGGAAAGAGATAAGGATGGGAGGTGGGCAGGGCTCTTTTAAAAGGGATCATATTGAATGTGCACAGGTGGTGCTCTTAGTGGCGGCAGCTGAGGGCCTATCCTGTCAGAACCCCAAGGGCAGCCCAGGACAGAAGCCTGAATAGCAACGGTGGTGGTTCATGCCTGTAATCCTAACATTTAGGATGCTGAAACTGGAGGATCGCCACACCGCTGGACATCAGGCTGGGCTACGGGTAAGACTCAGTCTCTAAAACTGAAGTTTCACACATTTAATGGAGATGTGTCTCTTTGCTGTCACTTGAAGATGCACTTACTTAACAAGGTAATGGGATCCACAAAAAAATATTTCCCTACTCGAGACTGCTCAAAAGTATAGAAATGAAAATAAATAAGCCAAGCATAGCTAGTCTCTCTGCAAACCTTTCTCATGTAGGAAATTGTAAACAATTTGGGAGGAGACTCACTCTCTCCAGCACACAGGACAGTTTCATTAGCTTGTTTTCTATGAGGGGGAATCTCAGAGAGTGAGCTACACCTACTCTCTCTCTTCACAAGTAATCTGATGATATAAAAAAAAAACTCTCAAGCCAGTGAGACAAATATTCCTCGGCTGTTGTTTGGAGTATCTACACCAGCGGCATGAGAAACATATTCTGGTCTGAAAATGTGGATGAGGTGGAATAGGAAATAGCGTACATGAAATAGGTTGATCTGGAGTTACCTTGTTAAACAATTAAAATTATCCCAATTCATAACAGCATTCACTGAGCTGAAGGATTTATGGGTTCCCTAATCCCTTCCACTTTGGAAGCACATCCTGTCGACTAAGTAAATAAACACAGGTTATTTACCAGATGCTCAACACTGGCTTCCTTGCGGAGAGCTCAGCATCCCATGGCCCAGCCCTCATGGTTATTAACTTCTAGATAGCATACCGAAAACAGAGAAATAAGTGGCAGACACATCAGCACACAGCATGCCAGACAGTACTGAGTATTGCTAGAGTATTACTATGAAGTAAATCTGGAAGACTATTCCTGCAACTGTGATCCCGAAAATGTCCAGCAGGAGTGCTCACAGCAAAATATTTATGTAAAAAAAATGTAGATTCCCATCACACACACACACACACACACATACACACACAAACAACAAAGATGTAGAAAACATCCATTCTATGAGTAAAATAGTCAGGTGCCTCTGACCTGTGAGCCCTGGGCTATTTGGGGAGAACAAAAGTATTTCGTCATTTCATCTCTCTGAGCCCTGGGGAGAAGGAAGTATTTCTTTCTCATCTCTCTGAGCCTTGGGTGGGTGCTGCTTCCTATGAAGTCCCAGGCAGGCTACGGCTGGGTAGGTGGTTTAGAAAGCTGTGAGCACACAGACCACAGACGGCTTCCGAGTCCTAAGTGTCTCTGTGAGTTGTTCTACTGCTACTCATAAACAACCAGACATTTGGAATCTGTGAATCCTGCAAACTGGCGTTGAGTGGCTCACATAGAAGACTGACTGGTCTAAGGTTCCAGGCCCCTGGCTCTCTCATGATGAACAGTTTTGTGGAAGTATTTAATTTGTCTTCCACTTGCCTCTAATTTGTCAGTGAACCTTTAACTGACATTTGCTAAAGTTCAATAAATTTGGAAGCACTTCTCCCGGATTGAGAAGCTTCAGGCATAATTTTCTGTTAAGAACTGTGGTGGGGGGGCCGGGGGGGGGGAGGGAGTTTCAAGCAAGACTTGTCCACTCAGTGGAGAGCTGGCCTCATACAGAGCCCTGCAGGAGGCGAGAGCAGTATTTGCATAAGGGTTACCATCAGAGAATTTATACTTCATTAACCTGTTGAATCTTGGAAAAGGTCAGAGGCAGAAATAATATTAAAAACCATAAAGGACTTAGTGGAGATAATTTGCTTAATTCCTAAATTATGAGATTATACGGTAAGTTGAGTCCTGAGGCAAGATAGCTCATGACAGATGAGATTAAAATCAGAATGAAAATTACTTAAAACAGTATGTGTATGATCAAATTAGTATACAATACAGTAAATTGTTAATAAAAATCTGTGAATATTTGAAACCTTTTAAAGAGCCCAGTGTGTGTACATTGGATACAACCTCCTGACAGACACACCTTGATTATTACCCTCAAAACAGAGTATTTTAATATGAAGTAAAAATGTAAATGATATTTAAAAGTCTGTCACATCTATTGCCTTCCTAATGTGGATGAAGAGAGG